ATCGTTTATTTCATCTATAAGTATCAGGAATCGTCAACTAATTTAGTAAGGGGTCCAGATATCTGTTTATACTATTGAATAGGGAAAAAAAGTAATAAAAAAGATGTGGTTACGCGACTGACAAGCTATAATTTACATGGGAGAAACGTTGACGTACGAGAGTAACGTTTTGTTAACAACAAAGTATTCTATGTCGCATTAAGACGTCCTTGGTTAACAAAAAAAATACAGTAGGTATATGTATATATTCTTTTTCATCATCATGAATAATGGAAAAATAACATTATCAAATTATAACACCAACGCCATCTATTGGTGCTCGCGTATCATCACTTGGAATTGAATAATGTCCAAAAGTAATATAAAAAATCCTTTAGCGTTTATGTAATGGTATTATTTTGTTATTACTTTTATGATTAAGATAACTTTAAATAATTATCTAAATTACGATAATTATTGTTTATTAATTTTGTAGCGTTAACAACACTCTTAATATAAATCGTCTGGTAAATAAAAATGTGTTACTGATAAAATGTTGTCTATTGATGACGTCATAGATGCTAGCTGCTATGCGGATTAATATCAATAATTTTGTCACATTGATTAAGTCTTCGGTAGTATAGTGGTCAGTATCCCCGCCTGTCACGCGGGAGACCGGGGTTCGATTCCCCGCCGGAGAGACCTTTTTTGTTATTTTTTTATTTGTTTTAAGCCATTTTATTAATGTATTGTAAATATGAATATAAATAAACAGTCGGATAACAAATATGCTTTAAGTTCAATGCTTTAAGAATGTGCAACTATGGAGATCGGATGATTAAATTTATTTATAAATAGCAACTATGCCGTATCTACATTCAATAAACTATTTTTTAATCTAATTGAACCTCTTACTTTACCACTGTGAGAAGGAAGAAAATATATATCAATTGAACGTACAATAAAAACGGAAACGAATATTTTTTTAATTTGTAACTATTCGGCAAAAAAAAGGTCAATTTGAAATATGATTTGCGTATAGTAAAATAACAATAGCGTTTTTTTACGAACGCTACGAAAATTAACTTTTGGTTTCTTTTTATGGCTGAATATTATTTCCCTTTATCATTTTTTTTAGAGTACTTATCTTTTTTATAATCAATTTATTAGGAAATGTTTTCTTTTTCAATTGAGCAAAGGAACTTTTGTGCATGTTTAATAATATTCAATCATTTAACCTTTTTCGTACATTTGAAAAAAGCCTACATATTTTAACAATTTAAAATATAGCACAAAATTATAATGAAATTGTTGAATATAGAAAATAATAATCTATTTTATTTAAGTAATAGCCTTCCGCCAGCGGCTTAGCCCGCGTGATTCTAGTTTTAAATCCAGATATGAGAAAATTCCATAAAAACTTTCTTCCATAATCACTTAATTTACCCCCTTAGCGGTCGAATTTCGTAAAATCCCGTCTTAGTGAGCACCTACGTCCTAAAATGAACAAGCGTGCAAAATTTGAAACTTCTAGCACTTGTAGTTACGAAATTTCATACAAACTTTCATCCCTAATCTACCCCTTAGGGGTTGAATTTCATAAAATCCCGTCTCAGTGAGCACCAACGTACTAAAAAGAACCCGCATGCAAAATTTGAAACCCCTGGCACTTGTAGTATCTGAGATTTCGTGATGAGTGCGTGAGTGAGTGACCTTTCGCTTTTATATATTTATATAGATATTAGTGCAAACAAAGCGGGAGTGAAAAAATGATTTTCAGGTTTAAAAAAAAATAAAGACTTATAATTTTTTATGGGAAAACCTACAGAAATATACCTATTCATTAAAATCGATCCTCTGTTGACGAAGATATACATACATAAAAAAGACAAATATCTTGGAATTGAGAAATTACTCCTTTTTGAAGTCTGTTAAAAGGAAAAAAAAGGCTGAGAAATCAATCACAAAGGAATTCCTTTACTTCCGCATTATAATCATTACCTACTAATATTATAAAGTGGTTAAGTTTTTAACTTTGTTTGTTTGTATGTAAATACAGGAAGCTTCATCATACGCGGGTGACAAGACTATAAAATTTACTTGGGAATGTAAAAAATAAAATATCAAACTATATAGGTACTCTCAAAGTTATCTATTCAAAGAAAATTCTGCATTATTTATTAATATGCTTGCAATCCTTATAAAAATTATTTAATATGTAAACACGGCGAAGGTAACAGGAAGTCGTGAAAACCAGTTTCCGCGGAAACAATGATAAAACAAGACGAACGCTAGAGAACGAACTTGAACTCTTCTCCAAGACGAATGAATAACATCGTTCTTGAAAAGTCACTTACTGCACTAAAATATATACCTAAACAAAACTAATTATTATGTTGTAGTTATAGTTTTTCTTTACTGAGGTTATTAAACGTGTATATAACGATAAAAATTACAATTATAATAATTTCTATAAAATTAAAGCTTGAAAATTAAAAAAAAAATATTTGGAATACGTTTCTTATGTAATGCATTTTTATGTTTACAGTTTCTATGGCACATAATATAGATTATTTATAACGTTACTCTTACTGCTAAGGTGGAATCTAGAGATTTCTTTTCATTCATAATATAAAAAAATATATGCTTCAAGTTATTTTTTTAAAACGGCAAAGACAACGAAACTGACTTACTTTATAATTTAAATTATATACAGACAAAGTTCATTGCTCACATTTTCAACCATATATCATATAATGAAAACATGTCCAAAGGCATCTCGGCAGTTACTAAACTGATTTTAATTATACTGCCATGTTCAAAAATATATTTAACCTTTTGTTATCTCGAAATACCATCTTCTAATTATCTGCCCTCATTAGAAATGACTGTGAACTTAACGAATATCAGTGATCGACGCAAGTTATTGTTAATATATTTCATAAGACATACTTAATGCATCCGTCTAAAGCAAAATAATAATTATTATTAACACCAAGAGGTTTTTTCACACGTACTATATAATTTTCTGTCCGTCCGTTCGGTTTCCAACTGGGCGATCGCATAACCTTGACGATTACAAAACTACGATGACTACAACAAGAAAAATACAGTTAAATTCATACATACTATTAGCAATAAAAACTATTAAAATAGCAATAAGGGAATTATAAAGTGCACGAGAAACGATGAGAACGGATTTAGCGCGAAAGTATGACATTAGTAGTAGGTAATGCCTCCATCTTTTTTTGACGGCCATCTTGAGACGACCTTGCTCCAGAAACGCACCGGTTTGTTTCGCAATACAAGTCGGTGGGAAAATTCGTGCTTCTATCGATTTGCAGTGAGATTCAATGTTTCGGCGTTTAATACGTCATATTATAATAAAACAACAACTTGAATTATATGAAAAAATTACGAAGATGCCTGATATTTTGATGTCGAATTAAATTTTATTACGGTATTGAATTACAGGGGGACATATTATTAAATACAGTTTGTACTTTCAATAGATAAAGTTGAATACATGCACTCAACGTTCAATACAGCCTTGAACGTTGAGTGCATTTTGAACCAACCCAATGTCAAGGAAATCGATAGTATGTAATCCAATATGAAGTTTAATACTTTGTATTAAGTTGCAGACTGAAAATTTTATTGAAGCAGACACTAAAAGATTTTCTAAAAAAAAAAACTGGATATTAGTGCCAAAATTAGGACATTTACCAAACAAAGTGTTTTTGAAACATAGTCATAGCACTGGGTGCTATGACTATGGACAGGACTATAGACAGTCATGACCAAACATTTCAACCTTTTTTTATAATACATTTTTTAATAGTGCAACTATTTAGATAATACAAAAGTAATAAAAATGGTAGTAGCCTAATTTTTTGTCCACCAGTTCACTTAAATTAAAAATTATCCTATTAAAAAATAGAACCCAATGACTATTGCAAAATATTTGAATGGGGAAATTAAAAATATTTTAGTGCAAACTCCAACAACATAACATTTTCATATAATCAGAGCGTTAGTTCCAAAAGGGGGCCTTGATACTGTCGGTTCCTTTCATTTTACTAATAAACACTGTCCGAGCATTGTTTCCATAGTTCATTGTTTAAACCATAAGCACATTCTTGCATCCGATTCCATGTATTTGCATACAAACAATACAGCAGTTGCTGTGAAATTTATTATGTATTAAAACTTATCAAGTTATAAAGCCACAGCAGTAGGTGCCAATTAGAAATATTCGTATTTCCTGTACATATTAAGAACGACAATGTTAGGGTTACCAAGTTCTTAAATTTCATTTTTTAAGAATTTTTCAAATAAGTGGCGAGGTTTACGTAGGGTGAACAATTACTCGCTCTTTATATCGTCAGTGAAGTTCTAACAGTGCGTAAGTCAAATAAACCTACTTTACAGGAGAGTAATAAAACTATATAAAATATCAGTTCGTAAATTTCTACGAGAAAACATTAGGGAAACATATATTAGATACAATAATTAATTAAATAAAAGAGGTACTATTAAGATATTTTCAATATTTAAGATTTTGTTGTGACTTACGCACTGTTGATTATACACAGCTTTGACTTACGCCATGATTTCTAGTCAATCAGGGTTGGTTAATATAAAAGTTCCATAGAGTTATTGTTATTAAATTTAATTTTGAAAGTCTTATAAATCAAAGAAAATATAAAACTATAACTAAAGAATATTCTTGAACTACAATTTTTCATCAAAATCGCTATTAACTAAATTTAAGGTGTAACATCTCTCATACTTAAATTTCTTTTAAATCCTAGACATAAAAAATATTTAATAATAAAAGCTAAGTTCAATACCTTCCTATTCAACCTGGATTATTTTCCTTCAAAGAATTCAGACATAAAATTAGTAGAAACAATAATGTTTTTGAAAAGCCATTATAAATATTATTTTTAGTAAATTGTTGGAAGTTTTGGAATCTAAGTTTCGATACTAAGTAGGTAAATGATTAAGCATCAATTATCTTAATGAGGTAGAGAGTCGTAGAAACTGTGACAGTCAAAAGGAATGACTTTTTTTAACTCTTGCAAATGACGCCATTTGCTTTCAGGTATTTTTTGTGCACTTTGATAAAGCTTCGGTCTAGTAGGAATATTTTTAGGTATGACTTTATTACGTCGAGTCCTGCTCTGAGGCATCTCCTGATATTCTTGATCAAAACTTAGTTTGTATTGTATAATTCCATTAGGGTTGTATTGTAGCACTCTTAAGTCTGTGACAGTAGGATCTTTGGTGGTTCGACCAGGTCGAATAGAGTCATAAATAAAGAGATCTTTTTTAGAGTAATCCTCAAAAAAGTCATAATTTAAGTACTCAACTGTATAAGGCTGTTTAGGCCTGGCTTCTTTCGAGAGTACGGCGTATTGAGATGGGAGAAATATTTCTTTATCTTTGGTTTTCTGCTCAATGGAACTGTGCACTGCGTCACACTCCATTTGAGTATGACCTTTTTCCAGGAACTTTTGAATTATTGTAATATTCTTCTCCATTGCTAATTGTAACAGTGCGTTAGCAAGAAACACGTTCCTGTTTTGTGCAGTACAGCCATCAGAATAAAGAACTACAGGAACACATTTTAGCTCCAACGTTTTCTTGAGTATATCTATGATGCATGAAATAAACACGGAAGCGACTAGACCAGCATTAGTTTCGTCAAACCAATAGCAGTAAGCATTTTTAGTTGCCAGGTTATACATCGTGAAATTATGAACGCACAGTTTGGTTTTGTAGTACAGAGCACTGGCCTTTAACTGAGGACACAACTTCACAGCTTGTAAATCATGTGTAAAAACATGTATGTCACCGAATTTTATAGATTTTTCTTTATAATGAACTTTTTCGTTTCTGGCCATGTCTTTAGAGCGTATGTGAGCATTATATTTCTCGTCTGTTAAATTGCCCGCTTTGTGTGAACAACAGGTGTCACATTGATCTTTTTTTGGAGTAAATAGGCTCAAGTTCAGCTCATCAAAAACTCTGTTTACGGTCCAGCGGCTGACAGGAGCTCTTTCAGCTTTTTCGCACTCTGCACCGTACAATTTGTAAAGTTTGGTCTTATCTTCGATAATTGGCTCTAAATACTGCTTTGAAGTGTTTGCTCTGCAATAATGAGAGGGCATCTTTGGTAAGGAAGCAAAAAACTCTTTAAGGAATGCCAGATCCTCTTTCTTAATAACGCGTTCTTGGTGTTCATTACTAGTGGAAGATTTAGCTATGCCGTGTTCCGAAGATGACATCCAGCATCTTACTGTAGATTCTTTCAAACCTAGGGTCCTTAGAAATGTCTGCATACACACTTGGATTCGTCCGATAGAAGTACTCAAAAAATATTGTTTGCTATCACTCCTCCTAGAATTTGTTTTATTTTTAATTTGCTTTTTCTCGCAAGTCAAGACATTGGATACAACATACTGTTTTCTTTGCTCCCATGTCATATGTTTCCAGAACTTAGAAAAAATATTTTGCCTCTCATCATCATTCAGGCTGGAACATCCACGAACCTTAGATTTATTACAAAAAGTAGATGTGCACTTTGGACCCATTTCACGAGCTGGACGTTGTATGTCATGGAGTACTTTAAATTTCTCATTTCTTTTTACTTTTTTGTCCCTGCGATATCCTATGTACTTCTCTCCTTTCATTCGTTTATTTTTTGTTACAGACTTATCCCATTTATTAGGGTCCCCAAATCTCTTTAAACTTCTTTTTCTGTTTGATTTCAGATCACCATATTCATCATCGGATGAACGAGAAACAGTTTCTTGTTGCGGTTCTACAAAAGACCTAACATCAGATGTTTGATTTTGAGACTGTTTTCCAGCAGAAGCAGTTTCTTGTGGCTGTTCTTCACATGAAGTAGAAGCGGTTTCTTGTGCCTGTTCTTCGCACGAAATAAGAGTAATTTCTTGTGCCTGGTTTTCACAAGAAGCAGAAGCAGTTTCTTGTGACTGTTCTTCACATGAATTAGAAGCGGTTTCTTGTGGCTGTTCTGCACATGAAGTAGAAGCGGTTTCTTGTGGCTGTTCTTCGCATGAAATAGGAAGGGTTTCTTGTAGCTGTTTTTCACAAGAAGCAGAAGTTTGTTGAGGTTGTTCCTCATATACAGGTAAAAAATCAGGTAATATTTGAACAGGTAAGTTTGCAATATTTATATTCTCCAAGTCTTGTAATGTTATGTTTCTTGGATTTTTATTTTTTGAAGGAACTTTAATGTTCAACTGTTTACATAAGTCTAAGATGACTTCATCATCCTCACTATCAGAACATGTAGTATCCATCATTTTACAATCCCTGAAAGGAAACAAAGTTTATATCAACACAACGTAAGTCATTTCAAAGAACACTGCGTAAGTCAAAGCAAAATTAATTAGTCAATTTATTTTTGTAACTACAAAGTAATTTATAATTATTCAATGTGTTACAGCTTAAACATTATGTCAAAAAGCTAATTAGATAACATTTAGACGTAATAAACACAAATATTTACCTTTTTTGAGAATAAAACTGCCGGCTCTGTTTGTAGGTTAGGAACTTGTATGAAACTAACTGACTTACGCTGTGTTGATCCTATCGGCAGACATACGCAGTGTGAGCATTTTTGAAATTTGCAACGCTATTGGTCAGCTTGCTACTTTCTGATTGGCCGCCCCAAAACGCGTGGTTCTTAACTATCCAATGGCATCAAAATATTTAAAACCGCCAAAAATGACTTACGCACTGTTAGAACTTCACTGACGATATTTTATTTGGTTAACAAATAGAGGTAACAAAGTTACCTAATGTGAATCATGGTTACACACATCAAAGTTGCATTACGTAAATAAACATTTAAAGATTCAAATGCACGCCAACAATAAAATGGTTGTCTTTTAACAAGGACATGAAACATCAGTGTAAAAACTAGTATACCAAATACCCAGTCAAGTTCAGGGCAGAAGTAGTTCAAATGTCACGTGAATATTAACTGGCTAGAAATGTTTAGACATAAACCATATATTTTAATTGTTTCATCTGTATTGTGATTCCATCTAAGATGTTACTAATCTACCAGAGCTCCACCTTTGCTTCTAAATTAGGTTACCTACTTTTGACATTTAGCTTAGCAATTACGTATCATCTGAGATGAACCTAAGTTAATTTACATAACAGATAAAAAAGAATACATTCGTCTATACGTTACGAGAGCGTCTGATACTTATTCTCAACAATAAACAATAGAAAGTGGTTATGTAATTCGGACGCCTTGCCTACTACCTTTGACTGTGTTTCCGGAGCAAAAATGTCATTTACGTAGTAATTATAAAGCCAACTTAAAGTGTTGACTTCATTTTATCGTGACGAAGGCCCAAATTAAAGCTATGGTGACATAAAATGCTGAAAATTTGACCACGGCCGGTGTAACCTGGTCAACCTCTGTATATATATAGCGGGCGTCTACTGCTTACAAAAATTATTAGTTCTATATTAGTATTCCCATTATCGTGTCTTGGTGTCAACGCTCCTTCCATTGTAACCCCATTAATGTACGCGAACGAATATCTCCACAAAGGTTTAACTACAAGCTCCTTAACACAATACAACTGCAGTAGTGGAAGCGGGATGGTTATACAACCAGAAGCTCTGTCTCTTATGACTGCGCGGCATTTGCATCGCATTCGAGATGTCCTGGTAGGAGCCCTGATAACACACTCAGCTGTATCGTATGTTCCCACTAATGGTTGGCATAAGTTAACACGTTCCAATGTGTATTTATGGTGACCACAATTTGACAGTTTGTGGGATTTATGGCGTCATCTTTTGTACTTTTGAATCATAATATTCTTTATTACCTTATATCTTCAGAATCGCTGATTTAGATAATTGATATATCGTAGATTTGTCTTAGTAGTCCAAGTTTTCTTAGATATTAAACGTAAAAAAAAATGTTTGTTTCAAATACTGCAATATACTAAATACTAGTAAGTAACTGAAAAGGCTGAAGCAAGATAAAAAAAATATGCATGACCATACATAACATGCATGAAATTGAATAATAAGTCAAATCATTCTCTCTTTGTGCATGCCTCCGACTACATGTTATGTTTGATGTTGTACAATTTTTTATCTTATTCCAGCCTATTTAGTTAGTTATTTTTCACGCAGGAATTTTTGTTATTTTAACTGTCAGCACCCCACCTTATTCCTACAACTAAAAATATGGCTATATGCTAATAAGAGTCTCTAACAAAAACGAATACATTGCACACAATAAGCGACGTAACAATGGCACCGTCTTATCATACATCGACTTTGGATGAAGATATTGTCTTTATTATCAACGCATCGCCAGTCATAGCTCCTATTAAGTACTTACCTACCTAAAGAATTTAATGCACGGTAAATTTGGAGTACTTAAGGCAACACCATTGGGCCCGAGCCGATAATTCCTATGTCGGTTAGCTGGCTAATTGGTAAGAAACGTGACGTGACCACTCAAGTAAACTAGAACAACAATAGGCATGCCAAACTCGCACTATCCTGACTGAACGCTCGTCTCTCCAAGTCCCTCCTACAGCAAAATATACCATTATTGCGCCTGGTAACAGATGCTATCACTAGTTATGACAATTTTAACAGGCACCTTTTTAATCTAGGTGTCACAGACAGCTCCATGTGCAGAGGCAGAAGAAACAGGTGCTTACGTCGTGCTGAAATGCAGTAGAATGGCCAACTACCAGGCAAAATATATTGGCTCGCCGGGTAACCTTCAAGAGACCATCACAGACGTAAAAGCGCTGGAAGTGTTTCTGGCAGAGCTGGACTGGTTGGAGTAACATCCAGCCCCACACCCTCCACAAGCAAAATAGGCGCATTTTTGACGTCGAGTTGTGAAGATACCCGTTGAAAGAAGAAGAAGAAACTAATGAGTACTTAAGTATCAGCATTAGTTTATTAATGTCCCCATTACTGGAACACAGGCCTCCTCTATACATGGTATCGAATTAAATAATGATGGATGTAAACGACTGCAGATGCAGCCAGGACCAAAACCTGAACGTGTCTTGATAAATTTTTGGTCACCCATCTTATGACCGATCCTTGCGAACGTTGCTTAACTTGAACGTGCTAACCACTGCGCCACCAAGCTCCTCAAGTACCTTAATATCAACTAAGTATTTAATAATATCACGTTTGTACAAGAACCTAGTATTATCAATATAAGAAGCGACGAAATCAGAACACCTAAATTTGAGAAAATATCATTAGACTTATTTACTACTTCAAATAATATCGAATGATGAATACAGGCTACATTCTGATGCAATGGATAAGTTAAATCATAAAAATAAAAGACGTGTTTAAATTAATGTGCAAACTCTAAACAATATTCGTGTAACGTTCGGTAAATCGATAAAATTATGCATTTTTATCGTCGGCCGATGCTTGAAATACTATTGATTGCATCAATAAGCGACCACATTTAAACTATTTGATCGTCTTTTAGTCACTTACGCCTTATTTACACTAGTCAGCACTAGAGTGCGGATGACTTCTGCACTCTCATCACATTGGCCAATAAAACAATGACCGAACAATGTAAGTGAGGTCCAGATACTACCTGTGCGCTGCACGAGGATCAATGTCATTATGATGGGTGAAAAACAACTAACACTATCTTGTCGAGCATTGGATGTCTCAATAATGTTAAAACCTACTTGAAGAAAGCGTTTAGACATGACGTCACGAAGCATCAAAACACATGCCATTAACAGAAAGGAAATTATGAGAATCTCTTACTATTTTTTATTATGTCTCAATATAACCTGTACTCCTAATTAAACACACTATCCGTATCATTCAAAATTAGTCGATAGTATAGTGACGTCACGCGGTTACGTTCATGCCGTGCGAAATCGAAAGTGGGGTAGAGATCGAAAGTGGAAGGGAAGTAAACCGATTGCCAGCCGACGCCTGCGGCGTCACTGGCATAGAGTGGGGTTACCGCACTGTCAATACCGGCAGGACGAACAATATTTTATTTTTTATGAATGAATGAATTTATGATTTATTCTGGTGAGAAAAATATATTTTCGAACTCTTTTTTGCAATTACAAGTTTAAAAAATATATAATTTGAAATTGGAGAAGCACAAAAAGCAGAGAACATTCCAAACTACCTAAAATAGATATCCTAAATGAAATAAAATATTTTTTCTGAATTATCTACCTACATAAAGAAATATTATATAACTAAATTTAAGCCTGAATACAGATATATACCTATAATAAACTCCTATAAATTATATAGACATTTTTAATTTTGCATTAAGAACCCAATAATGTTTATTTTATACTTATTTTAGAAAACAAATAGCTGAAAAAATTACGTCAAATAAAAAATACGTTATATAATTTTTTCTCTACAAATCACTTTGTTATGTTAAAATAAAACAATAGTTTATAATCTCGAAAACAAGAAGCTAGTACTGAATAAATATGACATATTTTCTAAATAAAAACAGTTTTTTCTTATCGCACTTCCTGGTCACCCTACACATTTAGATTACGCTAACCCGGTTATTTGCGAGCTTTGTGCATGCAACTTAAAGTTATTATTCTTATTATCTAAGTAACATTAGAAAGAAAACTTGTGTAATACGTATTATATTTCATTAAGGTAATTTAATTTTTAAACACTCCGTGATGTCATGTTTTACCGTGGATTTATATTTATTAATTTAATTATTATGCTTACCGGAAACAACATCATTAACCGTTACGGAAATCCTAATTTTGAATCCTCGTTGTGGCTTTCATCAAAATCTGTGAAGCCCTTTTCTTTTGTATTAAGAGACAAAAAATATAAATTTAAATATATTATATTTCATCAATTTTTGCATTCACAATGCTATACCGAAAAATTAATGAAAAACACTTAAACGAGCAGTTGCCCGAATTGCGAAGGGTCACGGGTTCGAGTCACATCTGAGAGTGCCAGGCACAAAGTGGATTTTTTAAGCATTTTCCATTAAGAATAAATTTATAAGTTATTAGAAGGATAAATTACCTTTTGGACTACATATTAGAATGATATTATTAATAAAATAATACTATAAATGCAAGGCAGCCAATTTACAAACTCCAAATTCAGGTTTATGTTATATTAATTGTTATTATAGAAATTTGTACAGATAGATATGTCGATGCCGCTTAACGGAAAGTTTGTAAAACAATTAATTAAAGTACCTTTAATTTAATCAATATAATATAAGTAACTGAAATTCTATATTAGTTACTATATCCTGATATAGTAACCGATATATATTGGAAAAGCACTTGTTAATTAAATATTACTGTCAATAAGACATTTCATTATAATCATACCGTTATCTATCTGCCGGTCGGTAAACGTCAAGTTATTAAAAAAAGTTATCTGGCTATCCGGAACCTAATGCGCGCGAGATTCCAATCTCAAGTCCGTTTCAGAAACAAAGCTTATCCTTGTTTCTATCCTTTTTAAATTTAGAACCTCGTTAGTTAATGATTATTAATATTTTTTTATTCGCATGACGTCACACTAAACGACATTTGCAACGATCATGGCACGTGTACCTTTT